CAAACAAATGCCTTTTTGGGCGCCGGCTGCCAAAGCAAAACAAAGTATTCGATGGAGCCAAAGTGGCATATTCCAGGATTAATCCCGATTTGTGTCTCAAATGCTCCCATATTAATAAATGGACGAACGGCATCCTGTTTAATCTCTTATATTATAACAGATGACTTGTGTTTGTGTACAGTTGCTCCAATCTGTTATACTCCGTGGAGTCAAAGTGGCATATTTTGGGAATTTAACCGAATTTGTGTCTCAAATGCTCCAAAACTAACTAAATGACGAACGGCATCCTGTTTAATCACTTATATTATAACAGATGACTTGTGTTTGTGTACAGTTTCTCCAATCTGTTATACGCTTAGGAGTCAAAGTGGCATATTTTGGGAATTTAACCGAATTTGTGTCTCAAATGCTCCAAAACTAACAAAAAGACGAACGGCATCCTGTTTAACCCCTCATATTAAAACAGATGACTTGTGTTTGTGTACAGTTGCTCCAATCTGTTATACCCTTAGGAGTCAAAGTGGCATATTTTGGGAATTTTACCGAATTTGTGTCTCAAATGCTCCAAAACTAACAAAAAGACGAACGGCATCCTGTTTAATCCCTCATATTAAAACAGATGACTTGTGTTTGTGTACAGTTGCTCCAATTTGTTATACTCAGTGGAGTCAAAGTGGCATATTTTGGGAATTTAACCGAATTTGTGTCTCAAATGCTCCAAAACTAACTAAAAGACGAACGGCATCCTGTATAATCACTTATATTATAACAGATGACTTGTGTTTGTCTACAGTTGCTCCAATTTGTTATACTCAGTGGAGTCAAAGTGGCATATTTTGGGAATTTAACCGAATTTGTGTCTCAAATGCTCCAAAACTAATTAAAAGACGAACGGCATCCTGTTTAATCTCTTATATTATAACAGATGACTTGTGTTTGTGTACAGTCGCTCCAATCTGTTATACCCTTAGGAGTCAAAGTGGCATATTTTGGAAATTTTACCGAATTTGTGTCTCAAATGCTCCAAAACTAACCAAAAGACGAACGGCATCCTGTTTAATCACTTATATTTTAACAGATGACTTGTGTTTGTGTACAGTTGCTTCAATCTGTTATAAACTGTGAAATCAAAGTGGAATACGCGCAGTTGTAGTCACATATATTCCAATATAATTGTTAATCGGCTAGCACTTCGTATAATGCTCTTCATATAAGCACTTGCTTAAAACTGTTATACACTGGTCCTCTTCCTGCCTATAACATTGCAATGGGAGTTGGACTAAGAGTTATTTCTAAATTGTGTGTGATAGGGCTTGTATATATTGTTTGATCTCCCGAAAAGGATCCTGTTTAACAGGCAAGGAACTTAATTAATAAGAATTGTTCAATATAAAACCTGCTTCATTAATCATACAATATTTCTGGTGTGTGTACTATAATCAAGCTGGCATGCCAGCGATAAGATATTGAATGGGAAAAAGTAAATTGTTTATTAATGTGTTTTTTTTTTTTTCTATTTCTTGCGTATTATTTTGCAGACTCAAACCAGAATCGATAGATATACGAATAGCAGACTTCGATGGGGTGCTATATCATATGTCCAATGTGAATGGTGATAAAACAAAAGTGCGGGTGCGTATTCGATTGAGTTGTTTCTCTTTGCATTTGTGCTATTGACTAACAAAACATATTTTACAATATTTTATAGATAAGCATTTCGCTTAAGTTCTACAAACAGCTGCAGGAACACGGCGCCGATGAGCTTCTTAAACGGGAATATGGAAGTCTGCTGACCGATACGGAAGAAGGTAAAAGTGTTTATTAAATTGTTTTAAAACTATAAATTAAATGGTGTTCTTTTATTTGCAGGTTACAATGTTTCTGTACTTATTAATCTAGATGATATACCCGCGGACTGGGAGCAGATTGCAAAGAGAATTGGACTGCTGAAGCGCAATTGTTTTGCCTCGGTGTTCGAGAAATATTTTGACTTTCAGGAACAGGGCGAAGAGACCCAAAAGCGAGCAGTCATCAATTATCGCAACGATGAGACGCTGTAAGCCCCATTTAAAAAGTTACCTAGAAAGTTTTATATATTAACCTCTCTTTAAACCACAGCTATGTTGAGGCAAAGCCTGATCGCGTCACTGTTGTGTTCAGCACCATCTTCAGGGACGAAGACGATGTCATCATTGGCAAGGTATTCATGCAGGAATTGAGAGAGGGACGACGTGCATCCCATACAGCGCCACAAGTGCTCTTCTCGCACCGCGAGCCACCCTTGGAATTGGCTAACACCGATGCCAGAGTGGGCGACAACATTGGATATGTTACATTCGGTACGTGATTCCCTGCATCTATGAAAACTCGTTTTATCTATGGAGTCAAAGTGGCATATTTTGAAGTCCTTTTTCAATTTGTGTCTCAAATGCTCCAAGATTATTTTATAGACGAACGGCATTCTGTTTAATTCTTCATAATTGAGCAGTTACTTGTTTCGTGTACAGTTGATCCAATCTGTTATACTCTTTGGAGTCAAAGTGGCATATTTTGGGAATTTAACCGAATTTGTGTCTCAAATGCTCCAAAACTAACCAAAAGACGAACGGCATCCTGTATAATCCCTCATATTAAAACAGATGACTTGTGTTTGTGTACAGTTGCTTCAATCTGTTATACTCCGTGGAGTTAAAGTGGCATATTTTGGGAATTTAACCGAATTTGTGTCTCAAATGCTCCAAAACTAACTTAAAGACAAACGGCATCCTGTTTAATCCCTCGTATTAAAACAGATGACTTATGTTTGTGTACAGTTGCTTCAATCTGTTATACTCCGTGGAGTTAAAGTGGCATATTTTGTGAATTTAACCGAATTTGTGTCTCAAATGCCCCAAAACTAACTAAAAGGCGAACGGCATCCTGTTTAATCCCTCGTATTGAAACAGATGACTTGTGTTTGTGTACAATCGATCCAATCTGTTATACCCTTCGGAGTCAAAGTGGCATATTTTGGGAATTTAACCAAATTTGTGTCTCAAATGCTCCAAAACTAACTAAAAGACGAACGGCATCCTGTATAATCACTTATATTATAACAGATGACTTGTGTTTGTGTACAGTTGCTCCAATCTGTTATACCCTCAGGAGTCAAAGTGGCATATTTTGGGAATTTAACCGAATTTGTGTCTCAAATGCTCCAAAACTAACTAAAAGACGAACGGCATCCTGTATAATCACTTATATTATAACAGACGACTTGTGTTTGTGTACAGTTGCTCCAATCTGTTATACGCTTAGGAGTCAAAGTGGCATATTTTGGGAATTAAACCGAATTTGTGTCTCAAATGCTCCAAAACTAACTAAAAGACGAACGGCATCCTGTATAATCACTTATATTATAACAGATGACTTGTGTTTGTGTACAGTTTCTCCAATCTGTTATACCCTCAGGAGTCAAAGTGGCATATTTTAGGAATTTAACCGAATTTGTGTCTCAAATGCTCCAAAACTAACTAAAAGACGAACGGCATCCTGTATAATCACTTATATTATAACAGATGACTTGTGTTTGTGTACAGTTGCTCCAATCTGTTATACCCTCAGGAGTCAAAGTGGCATATTTTAGGAATTTAACCGAATTTGTGTCTCAAATGCTCCAAAACTAACTAAAAGACGAACGGCATCCTGTTTAATCCCTCATATTAAAACAGATGACTTGTGTTCGTGTACAGTTTCTCCAATCTGTTATACGCTTAGGAGTCAAAGTGGCATATTTTGGGAATTTTACCGAATTTGTGTCTCAAATGCTCCAAAACTAACTAAAAGACGAACGGCATCCTGTATAATCACTTATATTATAACAGATGACTTGTGTTTGTGTACAGCTTTTATATTATGTTATGCTTTCGAATTTATTCTGTTTATTTGAACTTTAAAAACTAATAAGTTTCTGTAATTTATATCTTTGCAGTGCTATTCCCTCGACATACCAACAAGGAGACACGGGATAATACTATCAATTTAATACACATGTTCCGAGATTATTTGCATTATCACATCAAGGTGAGTGACAGATCTGAGACATACCTAATATTTCAATTATATTGATCTCTTGCCATTTCATATAACAGTGTTCAAAGGCGTACATTCATTCGCGCATGCGCGCAAAAACCTCAGATTTCCTCAAGGTGCTAAACCGTGCAAGGCCCGAATCGAAGACTACGGAAAAGAAGACTATAACGTGAGATATATATATTAAACTAGATTTGTTTTCTCAATCACAATAATAATACTCTTTATTTGCAGGGGGAGAACATTCATACGCAAAGAATGATGCGCTCAGTATAATTAGTTGTTTTTATATATAAAAATATAAAAATAAAATTGTGTATTAAAAACAAACAAAAAAAAAAAAGAAAGTAAAACAAGAGAAAAACCGCAGAATTTTGGCTAATGTTTCCACAACTAAATGGTGAAAATAAACCCAAACCGTAAATGAAAGTAAGAGAAAGTATTCCAAAATAGCTAAATCTAAGAACCGGAGCAAGTTAATGAACAATGATAAAAAAAAACTAAAAATATAAATAGTTATGCGTTATTTAAATTGTATGTGACTGTGTGTGTTTGTCGAGTCAGAAACAGAGAATATGTGAAACAGAATCAGCGTGAAAATTTGTTACAGTCAGCGCCAAAAGTCAGCGTACACATTATGTATATCAAAACTAAAGAATTGTCAAAATGAAACATTTTAAACTAATTGCCTAATAAATCTAAGTGAAAAAACGAATGTCGCAAACAATACAAACAATCTGTTAATGTCGCAATTGTCGAAATGCTGCCCAAAATCAGACAACCCAACTAGCCTGTATGTGTAGAGTATTAAAAAGAAAAAACAAAATCAAAAACAAAAACTACTTAAAGAACTTTGATACATTAATAAATCCAAAAAAATGAACTAATTGCAATCCAAAAGCGAAAATATAAGATAAAAAGAATAAATCAAATGTGTAGACTGCGCTCTAGTTTTATTATCATGATGTTATATAGTATATAAGTTGTATAACAGATTAGATCTTAAATTTAACATTCTGCTTCTCGTTCATGCATTCCACGCTCGCCTGCAGATTCATATAGTCGCCCTGAATACGCGCACAGACTGCAAGAGAGTTGAACGGATTGGGATCGTGTCAGGAGGCAATAGGCAAGTGAAATTATTATTTTTTAAAATACACAAATTTAATTTTATGTATATATTAGATCCTACTTACATTGGCAGTGATTTCTTATATAGATTAGCATAGAAGTACAAATTTATTCCAATAGTGCTTATTTTTATTTATTTTTTTTTTTTTTGGTGAATTTATAGAAAGGCTCTAGGGATCATCATATTGTTCCAATTTGATATAAGCAAGTGCTGTGATGATAGAAAAGTGACAGAAGTGAGTGTTATTTATATAGTTGTATAGTTAATCAAAGTCGAGTCTCATAAATACAGTGAAAGCTCTGCGAACAAACAGATTTATTTGGCAAACAATTATTTATGTTTATAATCTTTTTGCTTACTTTTCGAATATTTTTTGTATATATACGAAACTTAAGCTTAACAATATATGTTTCATTTGATTACTTGTAACCCTTGCCGTTCGCTCTAGCGAGCTTTCACTGTATTTATAGCTAAAACTAGCGTGCACTGCATAGGTTCAGACAGGCTCAACGAATCGTTTATCATATTGTATATACACATGCGTGAGTCTACGATAGAGAGAGACATAAAAAAAAAAAAAACTAAACAAAAAAAAAATATACAAAAAAAAAGGGCTTGGTCTCGCATTTGACAGTGAAAGAAACTGGGGCGCGTACAAAGTAATACACAAATTTCGTTAAATAGCTGCGAATCGCAGAGTCGTATCTGAGCGATACTCTGTATATAATTAGATGTATTGCATATTCGTACCTTTCTGCAGATCCATATCGTCCATTTCGGAGTTTTTGATTTGTTGCAATTTCTCGCGAAACTTTTTGGTTATCTGTTTGCGTTGATAATCGGCTTCGATTTCCTGTTTGGTGCGCGGTATGCGAAAGCGTATACAGCAGCAGACCATTATCACTGCAAATACCCTGTGTTTATTAACGAAATTACCTAATAAATAGAGTCTAACGACACTCACTAATACTCATTAGTATGCCCAGCACGGAGGCTATGATGTGCCAGCGCCGAAAGCCGCCTATGGTGATTTTTTCTAGCCAAGCTTCCTTTGGATCTATGTCAAAGATATCCGTATCGTCGTCCATTTTATATGTTTCGCGCAGGTATTTTCTATCAGCCTTGAACCCGTGCTCTATTTAAGCGTCAATTTCACGTCCGGCTGCGTTGCCCGGCCAATTCGGACTGTTCACTTGGCCCGCAACGGAGCCACACTCAATATACTTTGACTAAAACTGAGTGCTAAAAGCATATCCAAATGAGTTGCGCTTAGTTCTAGGGCTACTTGCGGCACACCCTGTATGGGAATGTGTAAGAAGAGTGTAAAATAACAAACAAGGCAGGTGCAAATAGTTTGAAAGGTTCCCAAATACCCTGGAAACACTTTGATGAAGTTTTTGAAAACTTCTTTCGAATATCTCAACTTTCAATTAATATCTGAGATAGTCGATTAAAGTACTTCAGTATTTTTTTACAAGATTCATGATTTTGCCAATTCCTTATTATTATTCTATAAATTCTGGGATTATTTACATTCATCTTGGGTCCTAGAAAACAGTGTGGTCAGAAAATTGAATGTATTTTCCAACAGATATGCCAAAATGTGTTTTTTATATATTAGGAAGTGTATTTTATCAATAGATTAAAGACAATTTGTTCATATAAGACTTGATTTTGAAAACAGTGTGACCAGTTAATGTTAGGTTTTCCTCAGAAAGGATATTAGATCATAAATACCACATCAAACTTTTCTTACCAAAACATTTTCTAAACAGTTTATAGCATTTCTATGATTGTGAAAGGGAATCCTCTCTATCCAGTGTGACCAGTTTAATTGAATAACTCTGTCAACAGTTGGGCTACACTCAAAACGAATATACCCGATAAGCCCACAACTGAGTGATCCCTGCTAATGCTAGATATTTTCTCCAACAATATGGTCGTTTTGTGCATATGCGAAGTGAAAAGGACAACGGACGCTCTCCAGAACTGGGCGCGGTTGCCGCATGCCAGCACAACGGGACGAAGCAATTTTGCATGCTAACAGGGCTAACAGGGTAGAGGAGGGTGGAGGGAGTCAGAGAGAGATAGACTATATAAATAGGAGACAACATGCTGATGGTTGGCTACAAAGGAAGCCACATGCTGGGCGCACCCAGCTCTAGGAGCTAGCCGTAGTAAACGCCCCGCCCCGCTCGTTTGTTAGATATTTAATTTGTTGACTTTTTGCCAGCTTTAGGACGGGGGGCGCGTTGAGGAGTAGGTGTCAGCGGCAAAGAGTGTTTGCCTAATGACTGTGGCATTTTCAGTCTGGCGTGCTTGTCGCGGGCGTTAAACATTATGTGATTGCAATTACAAATATTGTGATTAGACGACTTTTATTAATTACAACAACACAAAATTGTAATATTAATAAAAACACGATGAGATATTGGGAAAGAGGTCAAGATATATGATATACAAATACGGAGAGGCATGCGATTTAAGAAAAATTCAAATTTTATTTGAATGAAAAAAATATTTAAATATTCCGTTAGATACGGTTTATTATTATTCCGATAAAGCTTCACTTAAAAAGAATCTAAAACAGATATTTGTGTCCATTTTATAAATATTTCAAATGAATTTAGCTCTAAAATACATTTTTGGTTAGTTGAAAACAATTTTGGCCCACTGTGCCACATTACCCATTCCCACTGTGCCATGACCCAATGACCTAGAAAAAAAAGGATATGTAAATTGCGTTTATATAGATAAACGTAAACGTAGCACGCTTTAAAGTCGCGCCTTTACGCTGCATTGTCGTTACGTCAAGGCACAGGTGGCAACGCTGCAGCATTCACAATGGCCAGCGAGACCCACTCGCCCAATACTGCGCCTGTGCGCAGAGCAGTGTTACCGTTAAAGAACGAACGAGTTGCAATGCACACACACACGCGCACGCAAGCGAGCTTTCATTGAGGCACTCATTCAACAAAAATATATGCTTATCCTTGCCACGGCGCTGCTCAGTTTCAGTTCAGAGGCTCTCGTTCGGTGGCACACACGCTGGGCTCGTCGCAGGGCAAGATTAAAAAAAGAAAAATTACAACTAACAGAATTCACAAATCACAAGCAAAAAGGCTGTGCTCAACACGGAAAAGAAAAGTTATAACCAAAACGAATTAAACCAAAAGCAAAGAAACAAAAACCAAAAAAAAAAGCCACACACACAGCAGCAGCTGAAGCAAACGCCGTGGTCGTTCATTGTACGTATTCGTAACGGGCGTGTGTGTCCTGTGCGTGTGTGTGTGTGTGCGTGTGAGTGAGCATGTGTGTGTCTTGAGTACATAATAGGGCCATGGAGTTTTATTGAAAAACGAAAAAGTAAAGAAAACGAATAAGAAAAAAAGAAATATAGGCAATAGCAGGAAATCTCAGAGGCCACACACAGAGTGGAAAAAAGTTTCATGCAAATACGTTGGCCATGTGGGCCAGGCGACAGAGCGAAAATCAAAGTAAACTGTTTTCAGCCAAATTGTGTAAATAGAGCACATAATAAAATAATAAATAATATATATATATGTATATATAGAGCCAGCAACAACAACACCCGACCTCCGCAATTTGGCATAGGTGTGTGAGAAAGTGTGTGCAAAAAAAAACGAAAAAAAAAACGAAAAGAAGAGAAGAGCAGAAAAAAGGACGAGGCGAAGGCAACGCGCGCGCGCCTTCACTGTGTGAGTGTAAAATGCGTGGGTGTGTGTGAAAGGTGTAAAAAATGTACATTTTGTGAATTGGCTACATATAAAAAAAAATAAAAAAAAAAAGAGAAAAAAAAATAGCAGAGAAGAGCAGCAGAGAAAAGCAGAGTAACGAGTGTAACCAAAAACAACAACAACAACAACAACGACGACAACAACAGCTAACGTAACGGCAACGACAACGACAACCGTTATATTTAGCCGCCGCCGAGTCATTAAACGACCTACTAACACCAACGCACACTACGCACAAATGTAGCCCAAGCTATTTGCTGGTGTTGTTGTTCTGTTGTTGTTATTGTTGTTGCTGCATGTTGCGGATAAAGCAAATTTACAACTAAGCAAAATGCACACAGATCTCGATATCGGTAACAATATAAATCATAGCAAGTGCGCACTGCCAATGCGCCGTCAGCAGCAACAGCACTTTTATCAGCACACAACTCGTCCACCCACGCAGTGAAATAATTATTAATTACAAAAAAATAATAATAATAATAATAAACACCAACAAATAAACAACAGCAAAGTAAGCACCGCTTTTTGTTTTAAGTTCTCTTTAACACCAGCAACATTAGCCAAACAATTTTGTATGCATTTGCCAATATTTTTGTTTTGAGCGCTCATCACTAGCTATTGCACAGCGCCAATATATCGATAATATTGTGTGTGTGTTTTTATTAATCGATCGAAGCTCAGTTTAAATGAAACGCCTGCCTTTGCCTTTGCAGCATGGCTTTGCTTAAGACATGGCCATTGCGCTATCGTTTGATTTGAAATTATTGCTTTTAGATAATTGTCGATGAACTAAGGCACGATATCGATAGTATCGCTGCACGTGCAAAACTATTGGCACGAGCAACTTGGCGCACACGCATAACTAAAACAAGTTGAAGAAGCAGCAGCAACAGCAGCAGTAGCAGCAGAGAGAGAGCGCATCCAATTGGACTGTCAGACGGACGCGCACGTACGTACGGTTTGTGTTACAGCGGCACTTTGCCTGGGCGTCCCCCCTACTCCCGGTCGGTAACCATTAAAACAAAAGCAAACACAAATTAAATGTAATTAAGTGCATTTAAATTTGATGCTTACGTGATTTGTGTATTAGTGCGTGTGTAAGTGTGTCTGTGCGTGTCAATACGCCAAATGCTGAGTGAGCGTGCGGTAGGCCGACAATTTCATTCATTTAACTTTGTTTCATTTCGCTGGGAGCGAAATGCACAAAACAAAACGAAAAAAGGACGACAATGTTGAAAATTATATAGCTAGTTTCATATTCCTCACTTTATGTGTGCCGCTTGGGGCTGCCCTTTTATTTCGCCAAGTTAATGTAAGCAATTTCGCGTGTGCCTTCCGCCTCTCTTTCATTGCCGCGTCTTCGTGTGTGTGTGTGTGTGTGTGTGTGTGCATTGGTGTTGGTAGGTTCTGATTGGAGCTGGTGTTGTTGCCGTCATCAGTTCCAGTTGGGGCCGCATTTGTTATGTCAATAATTAACAGTAAAACTTACGAAAAGCCATGGCAAAAAGGCAACAAAACGCTGCGTAAGGCGTGCTACACAGCTGTAAGCCAGTTTTCTAGGGCTGCAATTGACTCGTGTCTGTCCAGGGACACCCAAGGAGTTTTCTTCGTTTCGCTTTTTTCTTTTCTTTTTGTTTTTTTTTTTGTCATGTGTGTCCTCATGTGTTTGTGTGTGTGTGTGAGTGTGTTGTTGCGCCCCACTCTTGCGGCCTGTGGCAGCAATTGCATTTGGCAATCACACGGAAAATTGATTTTTTGCCAAATGCGCGAACATTTCGCTGCATATTTGTATATGCCTTGCGTTTTGCTTCTTTTTATTTTAACCACTTTCCTGCCTGTTTTCGAGCATGCCAATTGGATTGTACAGCTGCTCGACGTTTGTCCAATTGGCACATTGTGCGTTCTTGTTGTTGCCGCTGCCGCTGCGGCTGCTGCCTTGGCTTGATGCTTACTCGTCTCCTCTTGTTTTTTTTGTTTTTTGTTTTGTATTACATTAAATATTTAAAGCATATGCAAATTTGAACAGTAGCAACATAAAAAAGAACGTACCTACCGCGCGGCCTTAACGCGCTTGTTATTGTTGCTGCCGCTGCCGCTGCTCTCAGCCATGACGTCGCGCTCACCTCTGCTCGCTCCGCAAGTTCTTCCTTCTTTTTAGTAGCAGCGCGTGGCGTGCGTCCGTTTTTTTTTTTGGCTTAAGTGTCGTGTAAATCTTTTTGTGTGGTGGCAAGTGCTCTGCCCATTTTATACTTTTTTTTTTTTTGGTTTTACCCTTTTTTTTTACTACCTTTTTGCATTATGGAGCACTTGCAAACACCCTCGCACACGCACGCACTCTCACACACACACACACACACACACACTCAATTCAAATGCATTTCGATTGCTTTCGCTTCTCTTCACGCGCTTCTCTGCATGTGTGTGTGTGTGTGTGTGAGTGCACTCAACTTGTGAACTGCGAGTCTTAAACGCCATTTTTCGTTGATTCCTTGTGCCTACATACTTCTATTTGCATCTGTGTGTGTGTGTGTGTGTGCTTGCCACCTTAAGCTGCGAACGCTACTTCCTTTTGTGCACGAGCGCAAACGCGCCCCTTTAACCTGTCGCCTCCCTAGAGCTCCACTTGCTGCGACACGTGCCCAATTGTGCCGCAACAAATTTACTCTAGTTTTTGGCTTTTGCTCCGTTTTCCGTGTACAATTGTCTATAAAAGCTTTGTGACCTGCATGCTATATGTATATGTGTGTGTGTGTGTGTGTGTATATGCGTGTTGCTTTGAACTCCTTTTGGCTTAGGGTGACCAGACTTCAAATATACTTAAACTCATTTTGGCGTTTATGGCGTACAGAAATATCCGTGCAGAGATTGTGATTATACATATATTTTTGTCAAAACAACTGACAGATCGAACAAGATGCCTTTACATGAAGGATATATACATATAGTCACGATCAGTACTATGCGCAATGGGGATATAGTCAAGTCTGTTTGGGTACATATGGCAGTATATACTGTTTTGGGCAGCATGTAGTATTTAAAAGCTTAATCAATCCTGAGGATAAACTATGTTTGTTCCACATGTTAAATTTTGACTACATATTACACAGAGAGAAAAACGACGGACTAAAGACAAGACTTTTCGTACTTGAAAATATACCGAAAAACTCATAAGCTCTTAAGCTGGAATAATATTTTGGAGGCAGTCAGAACAATTTCCTATAAGCCATAGCAGATATAGTCATGATCAACTATGTTTATTGAAAAGTTATAAAAATTGGGTGTAGAGATTAATGTGTAAGAGGCAGACAGAGGCATCTGTGATCTAATCAGGCATATGGTAATGCCAGGAAAATCTGAAGAAAAAAAACTCTATACAATTCATCTAGATTATCAACTAAACAGAGCTGATTGTCCCTTTAAAAGCTAGTTCAGAAAAAAAATATATATTTTTTATTATTTTACAAATAATTAACATACAGAAATTTGACGAAAAACCATCTCAAACTTAATCGAACTAAAATGGAGCTGCTCAGAAACTTTCTCAGAATCAAATTATGAAGAATAAAATTCAAAGTTGTGGATGCTTACATATTCCATAAGAATAATTGATTGTCATTTTGGGTTTCACCTCTCAAATTAGTGTGTTTATTCAACTTTATGGATTTGAGTAATGCGCCGTTCAGTCCCATTTTTTTTTATTTTTTATAGCCAGAACTGTTTGCCACTTCGTTCAATCGATTGGCAAGGTCAACGCCAGCTGCTGATAACCATAACCATAAACAGTCAATGTGGTTGAGCTTGTTCTATTTGTTGTTCTTTTTGTTGTTTTTGTTGTTGTTATTTGCTGGTCGCAATTAAAACTTGTTGATTGTGGGCGACTCTCAGGTTGGATGAGACAAACAAACGCCCAGACAGAGAATCAATTTGATTTATTTGACAGACTTACAAGTGAAATAAGAACAAAAACGAAGGGGCCCTTTTATGGCTTAGTTGGACGGGCAGCTGATTTGAAGTACAATTTAAAAAAAAAAACAAAAATTCATTTTAGTTCAACTTATTGTGAGCTTCGAGCAGCTAGGCAAACATCAATTGAGCTGTATTTTTTAGAAAATATCTAAATTGGGGATTAGAAATATTATAAAAATGTTAAGAAAATCGGTGAAAGTTCTTTCACATTTTTATCCTGCTGAGAGGAATGTCCTTTGAAAAGAAATGTTGAAAATAACATGAAAAAAGATTTAGAATTGTTTCAGGTTTTTATTTTAAATTGAAAAGCTTTTATAATTTTTGCGTACCTTCATGCATGAAAATCCTAAATAAAAATAGATATTTGAAAAATGTTTTATTAAGGCTCAAAAATATTACAAATTTTCAATATTTTTGCTTAATTTTCGGATAAGTAAAAATAGGTCCACATGCCCAAGAAAAGTAGGAAAAGTGGACATGAGCTTTAAATCTGTTCGTCAGCCGAGCTTTCACTGTATTTCAATTAATAATTAATACAAAATTGATTTTAAATTAATAAAAACTAATTTTCTTTTATGTTCCTCTTTCTCTCTTGCAGTTTCTGCTAAGGAAATCACGTGGCTAAGAAATAAAAAGAAATAAGTTCAAGCAAAAGAATTTTTGCAACCAAAAAGCTAAAACAAGTGCAACAAAAAGTGCTCAAATTCAAGATAATAAATAATTATATTAATCAAAAGCCTCCCGTAAACGAGTGAGGTGTGTGCGTGTGTGTGCAGCGCCTATGTGCCAGTGTGTGTAAGTGCTTCTGTGTGTGTGTGTGTGTGTGCGTGCGTGCGTCTGCGTGTGTGTGCGTGTGTGACTGGGACTAGAGCCAAAGAGTCGTCACAACGTCGTCCGCAAAACCTACGACATCAGCCGCTGCTGCTGCCGCCGCCGCCGCCTCCTCCTCCTCCTCCAAGATAAAAACTCAACGCCAGACATCCACGCAAGGTTCGCCACCGCCGCCAGCAGCAGCAGCAGCGGGAGCAGCAGCAGCGGGAGCAACTGCAGCAACAGCAACACGCAGCGGCGTACGCAGCGGCCACCGGCGTCGCAGTAGCAGCAGTAATCCAAACGCCGGCAACACGAAAGCGACCAGCGGCAGCGGTGGAGCTGGCTGCGCCGGCGTCGCTGGTGGCGGTGGTGGTGGCGGGGGCGGAGCTGGCGCTACGGCCAACATTAAGCAGAGCGTCAGTCGGAATAGCAACATACGCAGCAGCTCCTCCAACAGCACCATGGCATCGGCGAATCATCGGGGCGGTCATCGCGGCATCGCCGGCGCCGGCGCTGGCGCTGCCGATGGCAATCCGGCCGGTTTACAATTCGGTTCCGCCTGGTTTCAGCGCAAAATCAATCTAAGGCCGCAGCATCGCGGCGTCCATTTGGTCACCGAGGAGATACTTAGACAAATGCCGGAACTGACGCAATTCTCTGTGGGATTATGTCATATGCAAAGTAAGTAGAGAACTTCCTTAAAGGAATAGGTACTAACAACAGTTACCGTATAAAGTGCTTACCAGGTACATGGTAAATAGTACATTCTAAATAGTTATGGGAGAAGCAAATGTGCGTATGTTCGTAAACAATCAACTAGGGGAATTCTCCATTAGAAGATGCTTTATGTTTAGAAATGGACAAAAAATGACAGTACTGCATAAATTACACACTACTAGGTACATGGTAAAAGGTACATGATAAAAGGTCAATGACAAAAATAAATGGGATTATGTAAAACACAGTTAAGTATATGAATTTTCCATTAGAAGATTATATACGCTTATAGGTAGAGATAGACTTAATTGACATGTGTACATAAACACCTATTACCAGGTACATGCTAAATAGTTTATGATAAAAATACATGGTAAATAGTACACGATAAAAAGATAATGACAAAGGTAAAGGGGATTATGTCACAAACAGTTGAAGAATTATTCACCATTAGATAAATGCTTGTAGTTGGAAATGTACATAAATTAGATATGAACAGTAGAAGTGATATTATACCAGGTACATGGTAAATAGTAAACGATAAATATTATCTGTTATAGAGACAGAAGCACGCACGTACTGCTATTAGTAGATAATATATGCATATGGGTAGAAATGCACATATGGTACATGGTAAATAGTACACGACAAATAGTATAACAGTCTCGTGCCGCCAGATACCGGGTGGTAAATAGTGCATGTCAAATTCTTAATGCATGTTTGTGCGTATTTTGAAAAGTTAGTATTGTATTTGAGTTGGGCCACGTCTTGATTATTTATAAACGAGTGCGTTTTGGTCTTGGTTGGACTCAGCTCCTTATTAAATGCGCCTTATAAACTTCCATAACTTGTCCGCACTGCGATATATCCAGTTCCCAATAACCATAATCTTAAATTTTAAATGGTCAATGGTAAATATTACACATTAGGCAGAACAAGGGCAATACGAAGCGGGAATCAAGTTTCCGCGAATTTGCTTTTTGTCGAAACTATCTAATTTCTTTTACCATGACACAAATTCTTTTGGCATCCGAGATTTGAAATAGGTTTTCAAGCAAAGCGGCTTTTAGCCCAAAAGTTCAGCTGAACAAACAACAAAATGCAAAACTTGAATAGCACAGAGCACAAAAAAATATATATGTATATATATATATAAATTTAGCTAAAAGTTAAAAGTTGCATTTGGACGGACACTTTTAGATGTTTTGCCAGCAAAAGAAGCAGTTCATTTGGGTTTAGTGGCAGTAACTGGGTTAAGTGACATACACATGCATACATATACATATATATATATATATAAAGGTTCTGCTTCCTCTTTGTCCTGCCTTTGGTCATCGGCTTTGTTGAGCTGAGCGCCGAAAACTACGTTGACATCGATTTCATTTGGCACAAATTGTCCTGTCTATCGCTGCAATTCAATCGAACGCAAACAAAATAAATTGTCAACGTTTTCATTGAGTGCCTTAAATTCAAGACCAATGACAATTTTAGTTTGGACAGAAAGTCGAGCAAATATTTCGAAACATTTACAAAAATCATTACAAATGCATACAACTTAAAAGCTAAATTAAACTGGGTTACAAATCATGATGTTAATTTAACAGCAGCTTGGCAACTTTACAAGTCCACATTTTTGTCATTTCTTAAATAAATCAACTTATAATCAATTTGGGTTAACTGAGAATCCATTTGGAAAAATTTGAAAGAATTTGTTTGTTATGAAGTCAATTTACTTAAAATTCCTTGTCATCTACAAGGTTAGACAGGATCTTGATGTGCCATGTTTACCAGGGCCGCAAAGCAAGATATTTTTTGGCCTTTACTTTATAAAAAGGTTAGACACGTTCTTGATATACCATGTTTGCCAGGATTGCAAGATAAAGAGTTTTTGTTAGGTGGAAGTCTAGAAACTGTATGGACTGTCAATCCTTTAACCTCTGTAAAGCTTCTAGTTTGGATCCTGATAGTTACCAGGGTTGCAAAACGAACAAAAACATTCTCATTGGTTTCGTTCACGATGCGAACTAGCTCACGGCTTTAAGGATCGGTTTTATTGTGTTCCCTTAACAATTGTTTGAGCTAACGCTGCAGTTTATAGGAAAAATATGAATTGAAATTTCATCTTTGCGGCTGCAATTGCGGCTTAGCCTAGTGCACGTTGCACTAATTCCCGTATTCTTGTGGTTCGACAACTTCTGACAGCTTCCAATGCGGCACGGAAAAACAATGAAAAAAAAAAAAAAATGAAAATTAGAAAGAACAACAACAATGTGAGCCTCGAGCATTTGCGGTCTTGTTGACAGTTTGCATTACAATGGCAGAACGCGTTCCCAGTGCCGGGGCTCAGTATCGTTTCAGACATGGGCAAATAAATAAAATCGTATCATAAAACGCCAGTCGGAGCAGTCCGGAGGCAGGAGGTGACGGGCACAGAGTGGGGCCCTGTATTTTTTTTTGTTGCTTAGAAGGAGCCGCAAAGCGAAAAGCAATCGTCGTCGACGTTGTCGTCGTTTCTCATGTCTTCATGTCATGGCTCTGTGGCTATGGCGTGTGAATGCTCGAGGCAAACTTCTTCCTGCCAGCCCCACAATCCCCCATCAGCAGCTGTCCCTAATCCCCCTGCATGCAGTGCACACAAATCGTCTTAGCCCAGTCGAGTCTTTATTATGGCTATCTCTTTCTATTAATACCCTCACAACGGGTATTATACTTTTGTCACGAAATGTCCAACGAACAACTGAAATATATTTAAAATATGTATATTAATGTTGTGTAAATCTTGTAACAGACAGAAGGTAGCACATCCGACTCCATAAAAAGTAGATATATTTACAATTTTTGCCCAAGTATCTTCAACAAGGTGTTTTATTTTGCGCCTTCCAGAATGATTGTATTTAACTGGAATTGGAATATAAATCACATAGTTCCCATAGAAATTATGAATATACAAATATAGCTACGTCACGAGAAATATATCACAAGACATATATCGCAAGTTTATCAAGAGTATTTAATCGTCGGCTGCCCGACACAGAATTTCCTGTTATTCTTTTACTATGGGCCAAATGAAAAGCACGTGTGTTTATTGTGCTGCAGCCCGCCTCGCGACCCATCTCCTGCACGCCAAAATGAATCTCTGTGCTACGTATATGCATGTGTGTGTGTGTCTGTGTGTATGAGTGTGTGTGTGTGAGTGTGTGTGTGTGTTTCTTGTTGTCTGGGGATCCGTTTTGGGTACGTGTGTATTGTGAACTGTAGTAAGCGGAATCTAATTGAGGTCAAGACATGTTTATTGATTTTCTTAAAAGGACTTCCTAATTAGACTCACTTTACTCAAATATGTGCATGTGTGTCTCTGTGTGCCTGTGTGTCTGTGCGAGTGTGTGTGTGAGTGTGTGTCCCCTCTTGAACGGAAGCAGGCTCGTGCCTGCAACTGCTTCTCTTTCCTTTGTCACCAGCCAGGTAAAATGTGCAGCGCCATCACAAATCAAATGCCAGTCAAATCCCCTTTACTAGCCCCTTCCCCCGCTCCTTTATCCACTTCCCTGCCCCGCCCAGCGCCTGCAGCCCTGCATTAAATGGCACACAACAAAAAAAAAAGTTAATTTCAAAAAATTATTTCAAAGCAACCTTGCCATATGTTTTTTTTTTCTTGTTGTCTTTTACTATTGACCTGAATACCCTGTCATTGTTTCTATGGGGAAATGCACACACACACACACACAGTTACTCTAAAACGAGAAAGAAGCAGCACAAACTATGGAAAAAAAGACAGACAGGGCCAAACATACACAAAGTTAGCGTCAAATTTAATGGTAACTTGTTAAATGACAAAAGGTACTATTCAAAGAATTTCCAACAAAAAAATAAAAAAGGATGTAGAAAACAGGCAAAAATAATAAAACAACAAAATTTGAATATACAATACATGAATATAGCTAATGGGCCTTTCCTTCAAAATGCGCTATGAAAATAAAATGTGTCTTCTCCTTCTCAAAAAATATATAATACTCATATTCTGAATGTTTCCGGTATTTTGGTAGCCAGCGTTTCCCAGGAAAGAAGCTCTAAATTCCATAGTTAGATACATAGTAAAATATCGTATAGTGTAGTAAAATGTCGTGCAGTATAGTGTAATAAAGTCGAGTATATAATAGTATAGGCAAAGACAATATAATACTAAAATATAAGTATAATTGGAAACCATGAAACCTTCAGCTATTATAGGGTTCCTTACCTATTTGTTAAATCTAGTAGCTGTGTACTCTGGAAGATTTGTCTAGACCCTATTATGGTAGACTTTTCTGATAGACTTTTCTATAAAATATTTACCATATTTATAATTAATGATTCATGGCTCAAACTTAATAGACCTTGTTTATTTCTACGACACAAAACTCTATTTTCATATAGCAACAAATATCACTGCTTCGGGCTGAAATTCCTTTTTCCTCTCTCTATCTCTCCCTCTCTACCTCTCTCCCCCTATTGCTGCATAATCGCAAGATCATATAAATGGCTCAACTTCAATTTATAACCCGAGCATATTTTTCTGTGCGTAGTCGAAACACCAAATAAATCAACTGAAACCGAAAGTGGGTCTGTCAAAACGGGTGGAATGGGAGCCAACATGGCGAAGCTTTAACATTTCCTATATGTATAATGTTCGTGTGTGTGTGTGAGTGTGGTGTGGGCGCCAAAAGTTGTCGTTTTTATTCGTGACAGCACATCGTTGCGAAAAAACAAAAGAAAGTATGAAAACAGGAAAGAAAATCGTTTTAGTTTGCTCTCCTTTACTTTTATTGAATGCCTCGAAGTATAAATAACGTTGCAAGCTAGTTATAAGAGACACCCTTTTTTTGCGACTAACTATAGCTTAACAATTTATTTATGATTCCCTTTGCTTTTTGTGATTAAATATAGTTTGCTGTGACACATTTACGAATAATAAATTGGGAAAGAAA